ACCAGAGCGAGAGCAAGAGCGAGATCACACCCATCAACGCGCTTCGTCCAGCGGCAGCGCTGCACGGGACCCGCTCGGGAAGAATGTCTCCAATCCAAAGAAGTGTGTTTTTGGTTGTAAGGGAAAGATAACATTGTTCAGCTTCCTAAAGAACCCAGCGTTATGTAAACAGTGGATACAGTTTGTTTTTCCGGGGCAGCAACGGAGTTTCACAAGTGTGTTTTATTGACGAACGTTTTATAAACATGCCCAGTTCGACGCTGGATTTGCACATCGTTTGATACTGAAAGATGGAGCGGTCCCAGCTATAAAAGATCCCAGTCATGATTCAGAACTGCAGACGGTAAGTGAAACGGCATCAAATGTCTGTGTTTTGTTGGCATTCGGCGCCCGAGTGCTCGTCACTCTTTAGCTCCGCCCACGGCCCGCCTCCAGGAGCTCGGCTTTTTCCGGAAAGAATCGTAAAGCTGTATCTTTCTTTTATAAATATGATAAAACTAAAGACTTTTTTGGAGATATGAAGGATGCAGTACTACTCTATAGGTACTCAAGATTAACATGAGATTGGGTGAAACTGTGTGTGTTATGCCCCCTTTAAGATTTTTGTATCATTTATATACTATTATAGATTTGTTAATTTTTTTATTACTTTTTTTTTTTCTTTTTCAAATTTTGTTTTTAGTTTATTTAGTATGTCAAGTTACACTAAACGAAAATAAGAAATAATGACTTGCAGCTAGCTGAAATAAATGTTATTTCTATTTAGTTTGTTAACTATAATAGGCTTCCTCATACTTCATGTATGGGAATCCTGGTTCTTTAGAGACAAAAACAGTTACTGAGGGGGAGAATTAAAGCAAGAAATATCTTGACTAAGTAGTTTCAGTTTATGTTAATGCTTGCTTTGTCTCATCTTGAAGCCCTCTGGTGGAGAAGTGCTGTATTATTAGAGAGAGAGTCTGGCCCACCTCTTTGTGGCAGTCTTTATGGGCCTCCAGGGTTTTCATGATGGTGAGTTCTGCGTAGTTCTTGAAGCGCGCCGGTTGACTGCGCATGATCTCTTTCAGGGAGCCAGCAGCCAGCGCTCGGATGGTGTGCTGTGGACGGACACAACCGTTCTTTAGCTGCATCTGTGCAATTGTTGGACGCCTCTCCTCCACATGCTCGCTGTGATTGGACAGCTCCTTCAGCAGATCACCAATCATCTCCAGGTGCTGCCTGGGTCCTGACCAATCACAGTCAGCAACATTAAACACACAATCTGAACATTTATGCACCGAATCACATCTGAATGAATCACTGAAGCATAATGGAATCATAGAGCTCAGGAAAGGCTTTTAATAGTCAGTGGCCATCAACTTTTCAGCTGCCTTATATTTTAACCAGTCCTTAAAAAGTATTTATAGAAACTAAACCTGAACTGTTTTGAAATGTTCATACATTATCTATGGCAGGGTTTTTCACCCTAACACTAAACTAAAACCTTTATATAAACTATTTTTTTCAGCTTTCAACATTTCATTTTTGTTTAGTTTAACTTGGAGTACTAAAATAACTGACACTAAACAAATAATAAATAATACATATTATATAGGCATTACAAAAATAAAAATAACAAAAACAGCAAAATGACAAAGAATTTAACTAAAATGAAAACTGAAAATAATTAATACATAAAAATGAATTAAGTCTAAATAGCAATATTTAAAACACAAAAACTAATAAAAACGAATTCCTCAATTGTAAGTCGCTTTGGATAAAAGCGTCTGCTAAATGAATAAATGTAAATGTAATAAAATAACATGACAAAAGTACTAAACTTTAAACTAAAATGAAAACAGAAAATAATAAATAAATTAAATAAATAAATAAACCTAAATAGTAATATTTAAAACAAAAAACTCATAAAAACAACACAACAAAATTTATAGAAATATTAAACTAAAATTAAAATGCAAACAAAAAATAATAAATAAATAAAACCTAAATAGTAATATTTAAAACACGAAAACACAACAAAATTACTAAAAATTTATCTAAAATTAAAATGAAAACTGAAAACATAAAAAGAAAATCGAATTCAAAATATGAACAAACTCTATAATAGTATATCAGTGATGCTAAAATAACACTTATCTATGGAGATGTTTATTAACAGAAGCTGACTTTTGCTTTTTTCAAACGGTTTCAAACCTCCTCATACCTGCAGAAAAACCTTTCGGATGCAGGATTTTGTTTTCTCCGCAGTCCTG